AAAATAGCTGCAAAAAATCATCACTAATTTCCATTATTTTGCGACCTTTTTTTTAAAAAAACCGTCGGAAAAATGGCCTTGGAATTTTTTTTTTTAAAAAAAAATTGGAATTAGCAAGGGTTTTGTTTGGATAAAACTATCGCTGATTGTCATGATTGTTTAGGGCCAATTCAACGACGATTGTAAAGACCCTCGCTAAAGTGTTTCAAACCGTCGTAATTTTAGTAAATTATTGATGGTTTTAAGATCGTCGCTGATTTCTCCTGGTAAATCTGCTTCTTTTTGTAATGCAAAAAATTTATGAAAAACATTAAAAAAAATTATAATTATAAAATTATAAAATGATTTTATTCTATTAAACCTAGATCATAGTGTGGATAACCAATTAGTTCTTGATTAAAAAGACTTGAGTTTTTTTTTTCGTGCTTCTCGCATCTATATATTTGTAAAATTTGATTCGAGACTTTATGTAATTAACCGTCCGAATCATTGGATCCACGTGCCATTATCGATTTGAGCTGCGAGTGATTTTTTTTTTAATTTTTACTAAAATTTTCAAATGTTTTTCGAGTTGATCTGGCTTAAATTGATTCAATCAAGTTTGATCAAATCCACGATTTTGATGTTTTAATTAAAAATCCAACCACACCTAATTAAAATCAAGTTTTGGGTAAACACGTTGGGCCGACCAAATTTAATAGGTTTATAAATGAAATATTTTGAAAAAGAAAAAAAAAGTGTCAGCCATGGAATCATCATAACAATATTGAGATATTGTTTTTAATTGAAATAGCAAAAAAGAGAATTTTATGATGGGAAAACGTAGCTATTGTTACTGATGTTCAGAATAAATAGGACATCAGGTGTAGCTGTTCGAGGGAAATATATATACACACACACTTGATGGCAAAAAAGCCATGGATTGAATGTTGCACGTGGAGTTCTCATTTTTTTTTTATGACTCTAGACATTATAAAACAAATTAAAGCAAAACGCATTATTACTGTTTCAAACAATGTTCATTCACTCATATTTTACTATTTATATACTCATAAATTATTATTTATTTTTCTATTCATGGCCTTTTTTATACTTTAATCCTCAATTTTTTTTATACATTTTTTTTTAATTTCAAACTTTAATTATATTGTGATTAGATCCTATTTTGTTTTAGTGTTTTATGCTAATTATTTTTATTATTTAAAATTTACTACTTTAATTTTTTATGTTTTTAAAATTCTCATCCAATTAATTTAAAATTATATGGTCTTCAAATTTTCTATACAATTTTTTTTTTAATTTCAAACTTTAATTTTATTGTGATTTGGTCCCATTTTATTTTAGTATTTTTTGTTGATTATTTTTATTATTTCAAATTTATTACTTTAATTTTTTATTTTTTTTAAATTCGTATCCAATTAATTTAAAATCACATTTAATGACAGTTTTGATTTATTTTAATATTATTCATTCTTTTGTAAATAAATATATAAAAATTAAATTCATTTTTTTCAAAAATCGATATTCTCATCAACGTTAAATTTAAATAGAAAATAAAAAAATATTTATTCAATTCTATGTGAACTTTTAATAATTTTTATTTTTGTTTTTCGACACAATCTTATGAAATACGAAAGCTTTATAAAAAATTTTTATTTAATTTTATTCAATTTGTCTTTTTTTTTTAAAAAAAAACTTCTCATTCAATTAATTTAAAATTATATGGTCCTCAATTCTTCTATATATTCTTTTAATTTCAAACTTCAATTGTATTGTGATTTGGTTCCATTTTACTTTAGTGTTTTTTGTTAATTATTTTCATTATTTTAAATTTACTACTTTAATTTTTTATTTTTTTTAAAATTCTCGTCCAATTAATTTAAAATTATATTTAGTGACAGTTTTGATTTATTTTAATATTATTCATTCTTTTGTAAATAAATATATAAAATTAAATTCAATTTTTTTTAAAAAAATCAATATTCTCATCAACATGAAATAGAAAAAAAATTATTTATTCAATTTTATGTAAACTTTTAATAATTCTTATTTTTTTTGACCCAATCTTATGAAATACTAAAGCTTTTTTCAAAAAAAAAATTATTTAATTTTCTTTTTAGTTAATAATCCATGGTTTAACAAGGATAAATCCTTTTGCCAAAGAAAAAATTATGAAAAATATAAATACAAAATAGTTAAATACAAAATTTTTTATTAAAAAATTATAAATATCTTTTTCACCTTTGATTTCATATATTTTTATAGATTCATACTATAAAATAGACTATCAAACTGAAATAATTTTTTTAGTAATTTTATATATTTTATCTAACTCTTAACATAGCGTGGATAAAAAATCTAGTCGGCTTCTAATTGGTTTAAAGAATCTAACTTTTGAAATTGATTCAAAACTAAAAATGATCTAATACTAATATAATGAATAATGAATTTAAGAAGAGTACTAGCAATATTCTTTTTAATACTCTCTTTTAAAAATTTGTTCAATAAAAATATTCATGACAATTTTTTTTTAACTCGTTTTTAACCTTCAAACAACAACATAGCAATTAAAAGAAAACTCATGTTTTATATTTATAGAAAATTTTTAAATTACAATCAATTTTATATTATCTAAAAAACTAAAATATTTTTTTTACTTGATTAGCGTTAAAATTATTTGAAAAACTATTAAATTTAAATTAAGAGTTAAGATTTGTCTTTTCTTTTCTTTCTTAAATGCAAATATTGAGTATTTTATCTTCACAGCAAATGGATAATTATCCATTAAACTAATGTTTGATGCAAAATAAATAGATAAAAGAGAGGTGTTTTAGTCATTTAAATAATATGAGATTTATCATAATTTAAAAATTTCTTCAAAACATAAAATATTAATTATCTCTCGGATCATTTCTCTTAATTTAATTTTAATTGACGAGAATTTTGATCCAAAACTCACATAAAAGCATGCCTCCCTAGATTTTTATTTTATTTTTACTTTTTTCATATGACAAACGAAAGGCTATAACCCGATGCCTCCTTGGGGGTGGCATGAGTACATGTAAATAGAAATTTAAATATTCAAAACTAAGATAGATACAAAAACCGATAGACTAAGCCCTACCATACAACGTAATCTTTGAATTTAACTTTATTATCCTAACATTTTTTATTTTTGTATTTTAACTCGAGAACCACTTGGCATAACGTGGGTCTGCAACTGCAAGCACAATATCGTCAATTGTCCAATGCTTTCTCAAACATGTAGATTGATTGACCACGGAAATGTGGGTTTCTTGCTCATCATGAATATGCACTAACTAGCTAGATAAGGTTATGGAACATGGGCTAGAACAATCCCATCGAGCTATCTGTTCTTACACCTAATCCCCATCGTGGGAGCACGTATTGTTGACCAATCAATGTCCATCTGCAACGCAGAGCATAGATACTTCTCGAGCACCCAGCTTACGGACACAAAACACTGATCACCATATTTCCCATTTGTTATTTCTTTCTCCACTCACTTTGGGTACCCAAACACTTGTAAGCCACCCCAAAAAAAAAACCCCAGCCTATGGACAGAAAGATTGGTTTTGTAACGAGCATTAGTAGTCATGGTCATCATACGTGATGGTTCATGAAAGCCACAGAGCTTTAAGTGATGTAAATGACGTAGATGAAGAATTTTGTGACGGAAGAGTTGTAAGTGATACATCCAAGTCGCTTAGTCAAATCGAAGTAGTGAGTATTAACACTGTTATCATCAGTGTGCACGTAAATAATCTGCACCAATCAATCAAAAAAGTTGACCTTCCCGTCAACAACTACTCCTGTCTGTCTTAAGTTTTTATGTTCATTTCATGCCACAGAAGTTCAAATTCAACTGGATATTATTCGTCGATAACAATAATACCTTTCCGTTTTCGGGTCAGATTTCCCTGATTCGTGCAAAGCTAGTTGTCTTTCTAATTAGGGCTATGTATATATGGTCATATTTGAATCATTGGGAAAGATGTGAATTTTTTGGGATACATGTGAATTGGGTACATGGACCCTAAAAACATGGATTGCAACGGTAACAGTGTATCATTGAACCTAGCAAGAATAAAATAAACAAATGTGACGGTAAATAAACCAGAGTTTCAGCTAATAAATTTAATTTTGATTTAACAGTATATATACGTCTTAGTGTGTTTAATCAACAGCAACTAATTATAATTTCGATCGACATACATATATATAAGATGTACAACCTTAGGTTGCTAAAAGGTAACCCAACTTGGGTAGTTGGATAAAATTTTGTTGCTGAATTTGTTAATGATGCCAATGTCATCCAAGTTTTTGAACATGTAAAAGTTGATGTCTGTTAAAGAGTTTATCAATCAACATGTGTATTTCGTATTTATTAAAAGTTTATTGAGTAGATCTGGTCTAACGTAGACTATATTCACAGTAAAATAGACTACACAATTAATTATGAGATTTAAAATAATATCTCGAGTATAGTTTACACTATTTAGGCTTTCCAAAAATTTCTTCCCAATTCCCACTACGAGTCGATTGAAATCATAGAGTAACAAACCAAATGACAATTCATGGGCTATCTACAAGGTGGCAGCTTAACATAATTTGAAGTGAAAATCACATAAATGATATAAGACCAGAATAGATTCCTTCAGAAACAAGTTAAACCTAAAAGCTGGCAGAAAGTATGGGAATGCTATCATCAGCTCAGTTGGATGTGAGTTCACAATATCCGCAAACATTCACTACCACATGAGCATATGCATATGAGTCTACTTACCCTTAGCTACTACTAGTAGGTATATATAGATATATATAAATAGGGTACAAAATAGACAAGCATATTCCATATTGCTTGAATAAACAACAAAATACATTTGGTCCACAACTTCTTATGTTATCCAAGATCAATAAAAACAGTCCATAAGTAGAAACTGAAAACCTAATTCCATCCCTAATGAAGAAAGAGAGAATTAAGAACTTAGACGAGCACGCAAGCCAGCTATCACCCATAATCTCAGCTTCCATACTTTATAACTGCAATCCAAGAAAAATTCATTAATGATCCAACTAGTAAACAAAAGCTTCACTGTTCACACAGGAAATAAAAAGTCTCTAAACGTATATTGCTCCTTTTGCGTGTGTAGACTTTACTGGCTCACATTCTAAAATTTCATGCTGTATGACACATTTTTCTGTATTCAAACCCCAATGTCAATTGCTTTAAAAAACCTTGATCAACCATTAGATAGATCACCTTCATTTCTTCTTAACAATCTAAATAATAAAATGCATGAAAAATGGTTTCATCAATAGGAGAAAAAAATAAAAATAAGAACTCACATGTTCACTCATGGAAAGGGGTACCGAATAGTAGAAAGCTCCATGCTGCAGTGACTGAAGGGTGACTCCCCACTCATTGGTGAGAACAGGCTGACCTGAGGAATGAATCAACAAAACATCATCACCAAAAGCCTCTCTCACATTAAAGGGCCCCATGGCTACTTCAAATGCAACGTCATTGATGAACACCGTCGACCTTGTAGGGCCACCGGACTCCCCTAATCCTGCCAAGCATAGAATTATTTTCTTTCAAAAAGAATGTCAAAAGGCTAAAGCCATGGGCAATCAAGCCATGCACACGTCCATCTTAGACAATAGATCACAAATTGAGGATCCAAAAAGACAAATCTCTCCTCTGTGTCCTATATATAGTATATGTTTTCTTCTCTCGTTCCATAAACGAAAAACCTACTACTAAAATGTTTGAAATATATTATACATGAATCACATTCATGAAATCTTGGGAGAATTTAGCGTATACAAGTACAAACATGTATTCTTAAACACCCTAGTTGTGCCCTAGTTGGTGAATATTATCATTCGTCAAAAAAGAATATTTATTTCATAGCATTTCAAAAACATGCTTGGAGCGTGCTTATCACGTGCTTGCAAGTATGTCATTAAGCAAAAATTTGAAACTTGATAAAAGATCTGTCACCTTGAATTTGATTAACAGTAGATTGAACAGCAACAGTACTAGTATTAGTTGAAGAGGGAAGTGGAGAAGAAAGACCAATGCTATGAGTAATTGCGGAGGTGGCAATGTAACCTAGCTGCGGTTGAATCTTTGGGCTTTTCTCTCCATGATTTACTTTCTTTGAAGCACTGGAATTCATTATCTCACTAAGCAATAGACTAGTGCATGGCCCAACAGTGTGATCTTGAACATTAACCACATTTGATAACTCAGAGAAGCAAAAGCCTTGTGTAAAAGCCCCCGTGCCCCCTCCAGCTCCAGTCTGTTGAACAGGGAAGAAAAATGGTTCAGGCACAAATTCATTTTGTGCTTGAAAATAGGTTTGGTTAACTGAACTGGTTGGCGAATTGGAAGCATCAATAAAAGTGGGAGAGCTCAAAGAGAGAGTCCCTTTAGACCCATTTGGAGAGGATTTCTCTGAGGAGGAGGATGAAGAGGATGGAGCTGTGAGGGTGGCACTCGCAGGGTTCGTGTTTGGAGGGGTAATATGTTGTTGTTGAGAGCTCTGTTGTTTTGAGTTTTGAAGGTTTCTCAGTTTGTGTTTGCTTCTTGATTTTCTGTTTTGAAACCAGTAAAAGACATTGGCATCACCAACTTGGCCATATTCTTGCAATTGAGCTCTGATCTTCCTTATCTCATCCCTTGGTGGATTCACCATCCCAGAATTGAAGATTGCTTCCAATATGCGAATTTGCTCAGGTTTTGGGTTCCATCTTGGCTTTGGCTCTGGACTTCTCTCTTCACATCCAGGAACTGTTTGAAAAATATGGTTTAGACAAACACAATCTATTAGAAGCCTCCAAACCAAGCAGCTATATCTAGATTTTTAAAATTAACTCCTCCTTAGATTGGTTTTATGTACTATAAATAGTAAAAATCATTCAATTAATTGTCAAAAATTAATATATCTCACTTCCAAAGGAGTATATTACTAAGAGGATAATTAAGAATACATTTAAATAGATAATGACAACTTCATGGGTGATGAAGTCTGTGGCGGGCTAGGAAGCCTAGCCTTTGTTTAGAAGTGAATTAAAAGCATGCAAGTGACTATCATTGTAGAAGAGTATGAAAAAGGATACTATTTAAAGATGAATAATCTATAATTGCATATTTTGGTGATTATTACCTGATGTGTAAGGGGTTCTTTGGCAACCAGTTGACATTAGAGATGAAGGATTGATGTCATGCTGCCATTGGTGGTGATGAGGGTTGCAAGGTTTGGACTTAAACATACTAGGCCAGTGTCTGTTCGATGAAGCCATGATGGCAAAAGACTAAGAACTTGTCAAGTTAAAACACCTTATAGTAGTGAACGAAAGAAGAAGCAAAAAGAGATAATATGAAAGCCCTTTTGTTGCTTTAGCTTTTGATGCTGAATACTTTTGGCAAACACAACATCCCCTCTTATAGCCTCTTCACCTAACCCTGCGTTCATTTTTTTCCTCAATTAATAAACAGTCCTTCCCATCTCCCAAAGAAAAATATAAAAACAAACCGATTATTAAAAAAAAAAAAAGAAATTATTATATATAATGTGAAAGAAGTTTATAAAATAGACAAAACCACACAACAGGAATCGCCTGTGACAAGATAAACAAGAAAGGAAGTGAAAATAAATAAAGAGGGGAAGAGAAAAAGTACAGTCCCATCCCTACCTTACAGGTTTGCATTGAAACTGAATACTTCTACTCTACTCAAAGTACAAGCCAATTCCCCCGGGCAAGAGGCAAATCAGGAAGATAAAAAAAAGTATACATGCTGGGTGCTTAATTAGAATCTTCATCAGAGTTGACACATGCATAGGGTAGCTCTTAATAAAAAGTAAAATAAAGTGATGAGGTGAGAGAGAGAGTTTTACTAGCTTTAGAGAAATGGGTAGTTCTGATCAGTTTGTCTCTTTTCTTTTTTCATGATATACTACTAGTATATTTTGTTTACTCAGATTTCTATGGAGTGGATTCTCTTGCTTCATCCCTTTGGTTTGCTTGCAGGTTATTAATGGTGATGAGAGAGGAAGGATGGATAATAAGTGAGGGATTATTCTAATGGAGGAGGTTGTTGCAGGAATAAATAGGGTAGAGACGGTGGTGTGGTGTTTGAAAGTCAAGAAGTGGTGGCATGGCAATTGGCATGTAGGGTTTGATTGGAAAGCGGTGGTGGAACAGTAATTGCTAGTTCGACTTATGTAAGGTGTGCTTTGGATTGACTCGAGGCCTTTATTTGTTTTGGTTACTTAAATTCAATTATTATTAATGTATCATAATTTACTTGTCAAAGATTCATTAATGTTTTATCTTTATGTTCTTCCAGACCTTCAAAACCGAGTTAATTGAATGCTAAACTGAAAATTTGAGGTAGAATACAAGAGCCGATAAAAAAGGAGATAGTAATACTTGCAAATTGTTGCTAATCTTATTAAAAACTAAATTTTATACTTTTAAAAACTACCCTTGCAATAATTATTTTGATAACAATTCATTTTAATTTTTAACATTTCACCGTTAGAAAAACAAGGTTAAACCCAAACTCAAAACAAGTGAAGAAGTGACTTATATTTTATGACCTTTCAAAAAGATAAATGGTTAAATCTATCCTTATATAATTAGATAAATCTTTAACATGTCTTTATATTTCTAATTGTTTCTATTATTTTCTTTTCTGATTCTCTAATATTTCTTTCAATCATATTTTTTTTACTCAAATTGACAAAATTATAGTTTTCATTTCAAAATAGAATTATAAAAGAATATAATGATAAAAATCTCAAAATTGCTCAAAATATTTCAGGAAATTAAAATTTCAAGATTGCTCAATCATTAATTTTTTAAAATAAAGATTTTAAATCTTTTTTTTTTTTCAAAAATCAAATTATATAACTCGTATAGCTCAATGGTAGTTTTAGAATGAAAAAACTTGATAGAATGACATATTGAAGAATTGGACATTATACAAGAACATGATTAAAATTATAAAAGAACATGATTAAAATTATAAATACAAATTAAAAACTTGATCAATTACATAAAAATAGATTGAGTTATTTACTTCCTTTCAAAAGTAAATAAAATAATGAATATTTTATTTACTTTGAATATTTATGTTAATTGATACTTATCATTTACATCTTGTAAAAACTAGTAGAATAAATATACTTAAAAAATATATATTTTTAATGATGTTGACACTAGTCTTATGACGATTTTCTACCAAATCAAATGCTCTAATTTTTTATTTCTATTGTTAATCGAATCTACTCCTTCAAGAGTTAAGGAGCCGAAACTCAAACACTCATAAAGTTGATGAAGTCAAATTCAACTAAACCTAATGCAACACCAGCCAAATTTTCATACTAGAATTGATGAAGTCTAAAAATTCTAGTCCTTAAATGTGAATAGGACGAAACTTGTTGACCAATAAAGAAGCATTACCTTGAGTAATCAATTTTAAGAATACGACAAAACAAAAAATTCTAAAAATGTATAAGAATAAAGCACACGAACTCTATGGAAAAACACAAGGATCCGTAAGATAATTTTGAGACAAACTTTTGAAGAACTTTATTCCTCACTAAAAGTTGTTTCTCTACATGACATAAGATGTCTTAAATAATAGCTCAAACATTTGGCATGAGCTAAAAAAACTTATCTAATATAGATTAAAGGAACTTTAGCCTAATGTCACTAGAAAACTTAAGTCCTAAACAAATAAGGACAACAAATCTAATCTAAATTTAATAGAGTTAAAGATCTAGAATGTCCCTTTATTGTTTTGTTAATCTTAATCGTGTCCCTCTATTATTAATTTATGTTTGAATTTTATCTTTCTGTCTAATTTTTTAGACAACGGGGTTAATTTTTTACGAATGACTAGCATGATGTTGACATGTGATGTGAATTTTTTTCCTCTCAATTTCGAATACCGAAAAGAAATTAAAACATGAAAAATTTAAAACCCCAAATTGCTCGTAGATAAAAAGCCTATATATCCTAAACTTGAAACCCTTTTTTTAACCTAATCCTAAATTTCTTTCTCCTCCTCCTTTCAATAATCAAATGAAAATCGGAAAACAACAAACAATTCTTCTTCTTTTATTTGTCAAGGAACATTTTAGTTCTTCTTCTTCGTTCATTTGTTAGGGAACCTTTACTATAACTCATTTTATCTTCTCTTTAATTGTTCATCCTATCTTCTTCTCGCTCACCCTTTCTCTATCATTCCTTTTATCTTTTATTCACTTTATGAAGTTAACGAAAATCCAACACCATAAGTTACAAACCTTGAGTTGATTTACGCCAATTTTTGAATGGGTTAATTCTTAAGTTTCTTTTTTCTTTTTAAATTGTTGTATGGCAGTGGTCCATCCACATTGTGAATTTTATGCAATTAATTAAAAATTTTAATATTTTTTATCGGTTATTATCCCTCCATAGTGGCTCCTCTAGAGGGGTAAGCTAAGGGTTCATATTAGAGAAAAATTACATAGAATTTTTAGAGGTGTTGGTTATACAAATGGTTATACGAATATAACATGTGTATGTTATAAAGATTCAAAATTGGATATGAGGTCAACAAAATCTATTAGGTTGATATATGGTGACGTAAGTGTATGCTCTATGATTGCCCTTCTAGTGAAAACTAAATGTGATGATGTGTATTATGAAAATGGTGACAAAGAAAATTCTATTTTTAATGTGAACAATCTAAAAATTATATGTGATAAGCTTGGTCTTGATGTTAAAAAAGTTTTGATGTGTATTATGAACATGGTGACAAAGAATATTCTTATTTTAATATGAAAAATCTAAAAATTATATGTGATAAGCTTGGTCTTGATATGAATTGTAGATTTGATTATAGTGCGGTTTCTACCGATGGAAGTTCAAGTCATTGTGTGGTTAAAAATGACGGTGTTGGAGAAAATAAAGTTGAAATTGTTGAGAGAGTATCGAGAGGAATAATAAGCTAACGAGATAGAGGGATAGTAGAGAAATAGAATCATGATGAGGAAAAACATAAGCAAACGGGAGGGTCGGTAGATGAGCATAATTATGATGACAAGGAACATGAGCAAATAAAGAAAAAGATAGTAGAGAGGCGAAACATGCTAATGACTATGAAGAGGATCGATTAGGGGGAGAAAAAGATATTGATTTTAAATGTTTTAGCTGAGTGACAACAATGATGAAGAGGTGTAGGTTGCAAGGAGTTATTTTAAAAGTGCAAAATGTATGAAAGGCAAGGATGAGAATATAGATGGAAATACAAATGTAAATATAGATGGGATTTTAGATATGAAATAGATAGGAACACGGATGTGAGGGTAGATGATAATGTAGATAGGAATGAAGATGCTAATGTAGATGTGGTTGGTGAGGAAATTATGAAGGGGAATGATGATGAAAATATTGAGGGGGTTGGTAAGGATAACTATATTTAAAAAGATATAGAATTGAACGGGGAAAATAATTAAGATTCTAATGAATGAATGATGTATTCATCAACCATTAATGATGGTTCGGATGTAGAACATGATAAAAGAATCAAAACAAAGACTATTATGTATAATGATAAGAATGAAGTCTCTCACTTCCATATTGGTATGGTGTTTTTAAATAAAAAATATTTAGAGAAGTTGTTATAAAGCATTGAATAAAGCACGGAAGAGTTATGAAGTTTGTAAAGAATGATCGTGCTAGGATTAAGAATGAATACAAGAATAGGGATTGCAAGTGGACTATCTTGTGTTCTCTACATAATGGTGCATCAAGCTGGTTTGTCAAGACTTATGAGCTAGAACACACATGTGATGTCAACTTCATGAGCAAATGTGTTAATTATAAAATTTTGGATGATGAGTTAATCATAAGGCATAGAAGATTGTGTTTGAAGATGATTTTAAGAGAAATTATTATGCAAGCTCATACAAATTTAAGATTGAAATCTCATTAACTCAAGTAAGTTCTACAAGGAATAGAGTTATAAAGTTATTGTGTTAAGACAAAAAGATGAAATTTTCACAACTTCAAAATTATGCTAAAAAAAAAAAAAAAAACTAACAAAGACAACATTATTATTATGGAATCCGACCCAAATACCAATAATTTCATAACGATATTTATTTACTTCGGAGCGAGTACAAAAATATTTTTAAAAATATGAACAAAGATTATTGGTGTTAATAGATGCTTTCTAATAGGCCAATTGAAAGGAGAGTTCGCTGGTTACAACGGGAAGAGATACCAATAATCAAATGTATCCTACA